ATACCGAATATACACAAAATATATACAATAAATATCCTAATCTGTGACAAATATTATCCTATATATAATATCTATCACTACATGTACTAGATCCCGCTTGGTTTCTTATCATGGGTTCGTGGTCCATATCCATTACTACTTTGTACAAACCTAGTTTTTGCTTTGTCCACATGTATATGCCAATTTATTTTTTGGTATAGTAAGGAAAATGACCTAACAACATCTCTACCATCAAATACCCTCGTTTGACTTAAGGAGTTTAAGATCTAAGATAAAACTCTTACCAAGTGAGTAAAATTATATTTAGTTAATCAACCAATGTATTCTTTACCCTCCATTTTTAAATAATTGACACATTTGACTCTTTTTTTTTTTTCTTTTTTTTTTTTTCACTATTTATATAATAACTTTGACTATTGTTTTTTTGTAACATATAAAACACAAAATCATAAAATATATTGTTCAATAAGTATTAAAATAAAGGAAAAGGATAAACAAAGCCCTTAGGGCTATGTATAAGAAGCTAAAAAAAAATAAAATATTCAGAATAAATTAACATTAATTACACCAATGTGCACGTGATTTTGTCATGAATGCTTCACATATATCATTACCCTAAAATAATATAAATTTTCATTATATCAACTTTTTTTTTTAATTTTTTTTAACTAATATATAATTATACATATATTTAAAGTTAAACTAGTGCATTGACATGTGAGCCAAGTTTGATTGTGTCAATTAATTACTTCAATTAAAAATAATTACTAAGATTTTTTTGTTTGTTATTTATTTATTTTTACATTGATGATTTGTGTGATTAAATGTTTCACCTAATTTGTCTTAAAAAGGAGTCGTTGCAGCCATATTTTCAACATTTGAGTTGTTGGAACTTTAAGTCTTTTTGTGCTGAGTTAATTTCAAGCTGAGAATTATTAACTATCATCCATCAATTTTTAACTCCATTATATGATAGAAATTTAAAAAAGTTGATTAAACGGGCGAGAAATAGAGATTTATTGTAAGGAATACGTGTTAAAGTTTACTACAAAATGTATAGTCTGAAACATTACTTCTTATAATTTTGACTGTGCTTTTAACCGAAGTCCAAAAATGCATTCTACCTAGACTATAATGTCAATAATCTGGGCAATTTTTCTGACGTTAATGATTTAAATATCAAGGTATTTAACCTAACATTTGATGTGAAAATAAGTTATATCATAATTTAAGTCAATTCTTATGACATGAGGCCATAACTATAAGGGCCATTGTATTGTTGGTTGAAAACTTAACATATTTTTTGACCGTGTTTAGCGTACACAGCATTTGTGTTACATCTATCAGATGCACTGATAATAATAAACTTAAGAATGATTCATTACCCTTGTTACGGTTGAAAACTCCAAATGAGAAATAAAGAGAGTTTTGTAATTTATAGTTTAGTACAATGTATCTCATGCTCAATTAATGGAATACTCTGTAATATATTAGTTACCAAATTATACAATAGAGTACGATTTGTAAGTGGTATGGTTTGCATTTCACAATCTTGAGGTTGTGGGATCAAACCTCACTAAAGACACTTTAGGTTGGGGATTTCCTTACCCTCCCCCCCACTCCCAAAGTGTCTAGCCCGCTAACCCGGACCGGGAAAACCTATGAGAGGTTCCAACCCGATAGGGCCCTTCATCTTATCAGCCGAAAAAAAAAAAAAATAGATATTCGCAACCCTTCTAAAACTTTAAGCTATTGTATATGTAGGTCCTTGTAGGATTTGTAACAATCTGATTTACTGAATGGTTAACATAGAAGTTAACATTTAGTAAAATTAGGCAATAGCAACTAACAATTGGCTTATGAAATTACGGGATTTTTTTCCAAATTAAGCTATATTTAAAAAATATTTTGCAAAGTGGTTGCGTGGCAAAACTATTTACTAAACTAAGTTTCAGGCGTAAAACGCTGTCCTGGACAGCGTTTTTACCTGTTGACCTTTTTTTTTTTCATAAAACGTGATTGAGGCAGCGTTTCTTCAACATAAAACGGTGTCCTAAGCAGCGTTTTATGTACAATTTATTTTGCACATAAAACGCTGTCCGAGACAGCGTTTTTCCTGCTGGATGTAGCACACATCAACTAGCAGACTCCTCACATCAACTTCAGCCCCCAACCTTCCAACACTCATTCAGCCACCACCCGTCACCATTCAGCCACCACCCTCCACCACTCATCCAACCACCACCACCCGCCACCACCATCCTCCAACACCATCCCCACCACCAACCCCAACCTCAACCACCATTTCCACCGCCATCGCCATTCACGATCCCTGACAACCTCCCCACCATCGACCCCCACCAACCACCACCACTAACCACCACCACCACCACCACCAACCACCGCTTTTTCCTACCCTTAGCCACTTCAAACCACTCAAACCACCCCTAACAGCACTACAACCACCATGAACCACCACATTAACCACGACTGGCCATCGCTTCTACCCCGTTTCTCATTATGGAGCCCAAATGTCTTGTGTTTGATATATATCGGCCTAGAAGGATCTATTTTGACTGACATAAGTCCGATTTGGACAAATAAGGAAATTAAACTTCAAACTACACATAGATTCATTCAAAATACATTTATTATATTAATAATGTAAGTGTTATATACATCATTCTAGAAAATCCGGCTACAGCAAATAAATCAGATAATACTATCTCGACTCATTTATTTGGGGTAATGGTTCTCTATCCTATATGTCGGCCCTCTGTCTGATACGACGCCGCCTGTAATGAGTAATGGTGGTGAATGGGTCTCGGGGCGGTGGGAGAGTCTGCTGGCTGGACGATGGGCCCTCTTGGGTAGGGGTGGGCACAGAACTGTGGATGATGTAATCCTCTGCGTCTCTGGGTGACGTAGGATCACCTCCACCGCTACCTTGGCCGAGCTCGAACTGTGAATGGACGGAGTGACCATCATGACCGTCCCGCTTAGGGACGAGATAGCCATGACCATATCTCTGTAAGGTAGCCACGCCCATATCTCGCACCCGCTCGACCTGGGGTTTGGTGGGTCCATCTGCAAGGGCGATTGATAGTGTATCAACCATCACCACCATATCCGCCGCCTGCAATAATCATCGATCAGTCAATTGTAACAAACAATGTATGGCTACCCGATTCGGCCCAATACTGATCAACTTCATAGTTCTCGTTTATTTGATTGAACCAAGGTACGGGAGTTCTAACCAGGGGGTCGCCAACTTCCATGTGTGCAGGTTCAACATCCATGTTCTAAAGTCCATCTTCCTCCTCTCCGCTCTCGGCCTCATCATTTGTATACACATCATACACAGACAATTCGTTATTCACAATAGTTTCAAGATGATTTGGCACAAGTTGAGACGACGTTGCTTGAATATCATTTTGCATAGGCAAATAACTATGCAATTACATCGGTGAAGGTATGACGGTGTTTGATGTCGAAGGCCTAGGTTGGCCGGTCATTGCCACATATGCCCCCCCATGTACAGGTGAAGCTATATGACAACTAAACGACATGTGAAATTGATCGTCGTGCAGCATTCGACTGAAAGATCCCATCCCATATTCAGTTGATGAAATGGAATGTCGTGTAAGGGTACTTGGAAGGGCTCTGTGTTGTAACCGGAATTATATGTAGATTGTTGTTCTGCCCGAGTACTTTGTTGGGTACATATAGACACCATTTTTACATATATCTCAGTGGGAACACCCTTCATTGCAACAACGCTCTTTAAAGCTTTCAAATGCTTATTCGTAGAAACAGGTAACATTTGAACCCCATTGTCAGTCTCAAACCTCATTTTAATGTTTAGTTCAACATTCCTTGGGTTTGAACCAATACTACTATGAACCTCGTTCATCAAATCATTGAAAGTCATGTTCGGTTCAAGTGTTAGTGGTTCCATATTTCCCCCACTATACTCGACACGGGTCCATCGAACAAAATTTCACCACCCCATCGGCATAACAAAACTACATTTTGTGCAGCCATATTCTACATAACAACCAAAACACATTACACTTAAATGCACTAAATCATCCCTAAATCGCCATAATTAAACAACAATGTACATACTTTTCAAATTAACACAGCTTAGAAGCACTAAATCAACATTAATAAACAACAATGTAAGTTATCACAATCACTTAAAAACCAACAATTATCAACCATTATCAATAATTATCAACATTATCAACAATTATCTACACTAACAATTTAACATTTCCAACAATTTTCTACACTAACAATTCAACAATACCAACAATTATCAACACTAACAATTCAACATTATCAAGATTTTAACCACAATTTCTAAAACAAAAAAACCATTAAAAAAACCCTAGATTTTAAAAACCAAAGAAAGAGAGCGCAAGTACCAAAATCGGGGTGATGTGAGGCTACTCAGGGTTGTCGGTCGTTGGCAGGCGGTGGTCGGAGGGTGGCGGCGGCGGTTGGTGGCGGCCTGAAGGACACGTTCTTGCTTTGAGTTAGAGAGAGATTGAGTGAGGGAATGCAATTGAGTGTAATTGGCAGAAAGCTGATGCTGGGATTGTATTCCCACATGAAACGTTGTCTGGGACAACGTTTTATGTAAAAAAAAATTGTACATAAAACGCTATCTCGGACAGCGTCTTATGAGTATTTGATTTTTTTTAAAAAAAAAAAATCAGAAAATAAGAAAAAAAAAAAAGTCAACAAGTAAAAACGCTGTCCGAGACAACAGCGTTTTATACTTAAATTTTTTTTTTTTTTTAAAAAAAACCAGGGTATAAACGCTGTCCGAGACAGCGTTTTACCCCAGAAACTTAGTTTGGTAAATAGTTTTGCCACGCATCCATTTTGCAAAATATTTTGTTAAAGAAGTTAGTTTGGAAAAAAATCCGAAATTACGGGGTACATAAGTTAAAAAATTACATTTTTTTTTGGCAACTACTTTAAACTATGGCTGTCTGAAGGAATTAAATCAGCAATTCATTTCTTTGCAAAGAATATGGAAGCATATCCTAACAAAAATTCTCAACACAACTAACCTTAAAACAAGTAACATATAGCTACATGTAAGCCAACATCATTTTGTTCCATCTATGTATGGCGACAGCAGCAGGGAGATGAGTTAAAGGTTGATGAAATAGTTTCATCAGTAACTCATTGCCAAAAAATTAGACCTCTCTTCTCCAAGTTACCCATAGCTTTCTGCTGGCATTCCAAGCAGGCATTTTTCTGGGGAATGACGACCTCAGAAATAGCAACCTGAGAACATGAGCAAAGCCCAGATCAATAGTTTATCTCTTAAAGCTGCGGGCATGGGCAATTGGGCACCAGCTTAAGCCAATCATTGAGGTCCCTTAATAAATCAGACATCATGACGACACAGAAACCAACAGCTGCTAGAAGAGAATAAAGTAAGGGCTTGTTTTCTGTAGTGCTCTGCTTAAAAGGATACCCCATGTAATTTACTGCAAATGTGACAACCTGCAACATCAATTGAACCATGTATGAAACTGTGTTTACCAGGTTTGGATAAAAATTAGAGTCTGGCTCAATATATTCATCAAGCATGTATTTCCCAGCCTCCTTCCCGGCACTAGTCAAGTAATGGAGGTGGACAGAAAACTGTCCAATTAAAGAGAGAAAAACGTAACAGCAGAATATACTGGGGTGGACTGGGTGGTCAATCAGCTGAGAGTCTGAATTGGGTGAGCATGGGAGATGAATAGGAAAAATGCAGCAATGAAAACCTCACACTAATAGTTGCCTGGATATCACCAAGCTTGACACCATCCAAGTTCATGACACCGAACACGTAGGCAGTTGCAAGGCAGTTAAATTGAACATCTGAAGTGTAGTAACAAGAGTACTCTGACCCTGACGCATGATATCTGTAATTTGGTCCACTGATGCATGCGTTAATGGCGAAGCCATAGACGCATTCCCTAACTTCACAATAGGGGCTGAACGGCCATCACCACCATCTTCATTCATCTCTTCCATCATTTATTTCCAGCTGTTTCTGCAACTCAACTGCCTAACACTGACAACTTTCTTATCCTCCGAAGCAATCTCTTGTTTCTTGGACTTGGATGTAGTAGTTACATTTCGAAGCTTCAGAGCGATCTCCACTTTGGTTTGAGGACAGCATTTAGCAAAACCACCCCACCCCAGGCACCCCAACATGTGCCTAATACATTTTAGCAGAGCAAAACCATTGATTATAGAGCCTACTACATGTAGTAAAGCATGGACTAGAGAAGAACCTTGTATCAGATTGTGATGCTGTCCCTCTGAATGAGTTCAGCATAAAATAGGACAGATTGTTATATCTTTAAGGGTGTAAAAGAAGCAATTACAAACATGCAGAAAATATGGAATACTTTTTTCCTTCCCTGAAAGCCCCCTATCAAGTATACAGGTTTACCACCTATCAATTCTATCAAACTTATGCTTCCTCATAGCTAAACACCCCCCCTGGTGAAATTATCGTCAAATCAACTGGTGAGAATTTTAGACGGGTGAGATACTGGCAGTAACAAGGGAAATCTACAAAAGCTTCTGGAGACTTAATTAATTCTTTCAGCTGTTGCTAAATTTATTGGCACAATCCAACTTAACATGCAAATTTTCTCTTCTTTCATTTTCACTTCCCTTCCCTGAGTTTCCTTTCCAATCCTCTATTCCCCATCCATCTAACAAGACAAGTCTAACAAGTATCACACAAAAACATCAACTTCTAATCCTCTATAGAACCCCATCCATCTATGCCCCAGTCACTTCCCAGCATCAGCTGGATAATCATCTGACTAGTTCAAACACATATGTACAACAATTGACCAAACCCCAAGCACCTTATTGAGGAGGTGATTAAATATGCAAATACTCAAATACTCAACGGTCTTCATCAATCTCACTATGAAACATAAAAGCCCAAGCAACGCTGAAAGAGCACAACTTTCTCTTGATCAATGATAAAATTGTCCAATACATTTCCATGCCAAGCAGTAGTCCATTCCTACCCTGACCATGGTGATCATAGCCAAGTATTGTAAATGTTACAGAAAGGTTTGCTCTCCGGATCATATTTCAAGTCACAAGCTCAAGTAACATAGTATCTAGACAGTTCAATTAGCATGAAATTTCACGCTTAGTAGAAATTAAGACATCTCACACATTTAAACAGTTTGATTGAACTTACACCATGCAATCTTTTCATTTTTTTTTTCTTTTTTCTTTTCATTTTCCACAAGGCATTATTTAAAAATTCACTCTTTGCGAACACATCAGTATGCAACATAATAGAAGACCATGAAGTACAAAAACTACCTGCTTGAGAGCTCTAACATCACTGTACCATCGCCACATATTAATGTCATCCTTCCCACAGTTTTTAATGTGGTCATGATGAGCTCTTTCTATTCTGGAGCAACCCGAGCAAGCGCCAGTTGATCTTTTTGATCAACAAGGCTTGTCAATCTAATGGCCTAATTGCAATAATGAACAACAGTGTTAATTTGCCAGCTCATAAAATTGCACTGTCATATGCTTAGACAGTATAAAGGCCAGTTAGCTGTGCTGGAGCGTTTCATAAATCCGTTTGTTAACATGTTGGATTCCGTTTGTATGATATACCAAGTATACCTTTACTAATTACTCCTTTCCCAAAACCCTTACAAAATTTTCCTTATTTCCTTTATTATTACACAAACACTAATCACTCAAACAAATACTTGTAATAAAGTTTGCTAAACTGCTTGCTCTAAAGCAACTGATAGTGACTTTCACTTTAAAGCAACTGACACTGACTCTCAGTATGAAAATGATAATACAAATTCCAACTTCATTGCTAAACTGCTTGCTTTTGTTTCGTAAATCAAAGCATAAACTAAGAAATTTAACATAATATACAAAACAGGAGACTTATGTTATTTTTTGTTATGAACCCCAACCTAAATTTCAGCTGGTGCGACCTTATGAATTTTAAGTTATTATGTACAATTACAATCGCGACTATTAAGAGTTTTTGTAATTTACCACCTTAATAAACCCCACGTTTTGATTGAACTGCCTGATTTCATTTTATTTTAAAATACCACCTAACAATTAAAAAATAATTGATTTCACCAATGTTTCCTGATTTCGGTGATGATTCCAACAACATATAAATGACACACTATAACATCTTAAATCAGGGTTCCAGTCTTTCTAATGATCCTTGAATATTCCAATTGGGAAACTATTTTTCCCGAATTCTTAACCAACTTGACATTAGGTTCCATGGGGGTGTTCACGGGACACTTATCAAACATATTGAACCGTTTGATCATTTTCTCAATATAATGAGATTGACTTAAAATAAGTCTACCATTATCCCTTATAATCTTGATGCCTAAAATGACATCCGCCTCCCTCAAATCTTTCATCTGAAAAAATGAGGATAAGAATTCCTTGGTCAATTCTACTTGTTGTAGACTTGTACCAAAGATAAGCATATCATCAACATATAGACAAATGATGACACCATGACCTTTGTCATCAAATTTGCTATATATACACTTATCAGCTTGATTCACTTTGAATCCAAAGGACAAAATCGTGTCATCAAATTTCCGATGCCACTGTTTTGGTGCTTGCTTAAGTCCGTACAATGACTTAACCAATTTACACACCTTATCTTCCTGTCCTTCCAAAACAAACCCTTCAGGTTGTTTCATGTACACTTCTTCCTCTAGATCTCCATACATGAATGTCGTTTTGACATCCATTTGATGAATTACTAGATTATATACCGAAGCCATTGCAATTAATAACCTTATTAAGGTGATTCTTGCAACCGGTGCATAGGTGTCAAAATAATCAACACCTTGCTTTTGCCTAAAGCCTTGAACAACCAATCTGGCTTTAAATTTCACTATGGAGCCATCTGGTCTCCTTTTCCTAGTGAAAATCCACTTGCAACCAAGAGGTTTGCAACCAGGAGGTAAATCTTCTAAGACCCAAGTGTTATTTCCCATGATGGAATCCATCTCATCATTTATAGTCTCTTTCCAAAATGCACTATCTTGGGAAGAAATTGCTTCACTATAAGTCTTTGGGTCACTATCCACATTGAAACAATATGGAGTAGTAGAAATAAGGGTATCTCGAGAACCTTCAACTAGGTAGATTATAAAATCATCACCATAGTTTTTAGGTCTCCTATCCCTAGTACTCCTCCTAACTTGAGGAGGCTCAACATTCTCTTCATTGAATGTTTCTTCATGAGGAGGTTCAAGTTGTACATCCAACTCTATTATCTCCCTATCATTGGCACTTATTTGTAGATCTTTAAGTCTACTCATTAATGAAAATCGGTTTTTCATAAAAAATTACATCTCTTGACTCTATAACCGAATGAATCGATATATAGTCATTTTGTTCTATTACATAGAACCTATAGGTTTTTCTCTGCTCAACATAACCTATAAAAATGCAATCCAAATCCCTTTCACCAAGCTTTCTTTTCTTGTTGCCGGGCACTCTTACGATTGCCCTACAACCCCAAACCTTGAGATATTTCAAGTTTGTCTTTCTTTTGTACCAAAGTTCACAGGGAGTAGATTCTTTTCCCTTTATGGGAACCCGGTTAAGAATGTGACATGCTGTCAACATTGCTTCACCCTAGAACCCTTCTCTCAAACCAGAGTAAGATAACATGGAATTAACCATCTCTTCAAGAGTTCTGTTTTTCCTTTCAGCTACACCATTTGATTGTGGTGCATAACCAGTTGTAGTCTCATGAATTATAGCCAAAGATTGGAAATATGTTGGATCATAGTTCTCCATCCTTTTCTTGTAAGAAATGCAGTCCTTGCGGTGACCAAATTTACCGCATTCCCAACAAGCAAACTTGTTGTTGTTTGCTTGCTTCTTGGACTTTCCCTTAAAAGAGTTATTATTCTTCCTCTTTCCACTAGTGGAAGCACCAGTTTTCCCTTCCTCCACCAAATTAATGGTAGATGAGCTAGGATTCCCATCCTTAGCATTTTCCATGGCTCTTATCCCTTCTTCAACTTGAAGATGGGTGACCAACTCGGACAAAGACATGTCCTCTTTCTTGTGTTTGAGATCATGCTTAACACTTTTCCAACTAGAAGGTAACTTGTTAATTATGCTTGAAACAACAAATAATTCATCCATAGATATACCATGTTGTTTCAAGTTCCCATAGATTCGTTGTAATTCATGAAATTGGTCCATTATGGACCGACCATCAACAAACTTAAAATTATTAAATTACTTACTAATAACTTCCTACTTCAAGCATCTTCACCCATATATTTGCCTTCTAAGGACTCCCAAAGCTCCTTAGCCGACTCAACATTTTGATAAACATCAAATAAATCATCCTCCATACCATTCAATATATGACCATGACATAAAGTCATCGTTGTCCCATTTCGACCTTTCCCGAACATTTTCCAAGGATTCATTCTCATGTTCACTAGGCCTTGGAGTACTAATGACATAGGCTACATTCAAAGATGTAAGAAGAAAGTACATCTTCTTCTTCCATCTTCGAAATTCCACACCGTCAAACTTCTTGAGTTTGACAAAATTTGTGGTCAATTCTTTCACATTAGACATGCTTGCTCTATTTAAACTCTTTAGATTGTTAGGTTTTCAAGTAATTCTAGAGTAAGAACTACTTTAATAATTGTGAGAACAAAACCTAAAAGTGTATAATCAATATCAAATTATACAACAATCCTAATACAATTCAATGTATTACAACCAAACACCAAAATATCACAATATTCCAGAAATTACAACGAAAACCCTAGTGTGAAAGATAATAAACTTTCCTCTACTCCAAGCCTTAGAAAACAAACATGAACATGAGAAAAACCGGTGACCGCTTGAGTCTCAATCCTTGATACACTGTCTTAGGCGTGTGAACACTTTCCTAAAGAGTTTAATTTCCCCCACAATGGTGCTTGGGTTTGATCCGGAAATACTCTTTGAGATACAAAAGACAACCAATTGTTCTTTGCACTAAGAATCGAATTGAAGATGAATAATTTACAATACTGAATTAATTGCGAGAGAATTCTCACAAAAGTTTGCAAGAAATTTGAGAGAATAAGGGTGGAGAATTTCTTTGGAGAGATTGAGAGAATTTTTCTGTCCATCTCAAAAAACAAAAGCCCCGATCTAATATAAAGGAAATAACCGCAAAACCGTAGAAGAGGGAGGAGGCGGGGGCGCGCCACCTTCGTGCGCGGGCGCTCCTCCCCGTTTTGCCAAGTTTCCAATTTTTCCAACAACCTGGCGCGGGTCGCGCCAAACTTTGGCGCGGGCGGAGGAGCGGGTGCGCCTCCAAAATCTGCCAGATTTTCCAGAAACTCAGCGCGATTTTGTCGCGCTTTCGGAGCGGGTCGCGCCTGCCTTTCACGAGCGCTAACAAGTGGAGCGAGCTCTCCACTTCAACACTCTAAATAACTCAACATAAACTACTCTGTAAGTAATTAAAGAACTTAACAACTTCATCATAATATGTAATACTTGAATGAAAAACACAGTCCGAAAGCATGGTATATCACTATATCTCCCTTAATGTACCAACTCCCAAGTGTGAGAGAAAGGAATTTAACTCTATGATGTGCTTTGAATTGTAAAAGTTAGGTTATGTTTTCTACACTTGGATGAAGGTGTTCAAATATGAATTTTCTAATCTTGTTTGAAATCAATAAGAATAAGTACTAAGATTTTGAAATAAAGGTGAAGAGACAAATTGCTAGATGTTAATTTACGAATGCAACACAGATAAAGTTGCGGACAATGAAATTGATATCGGAATGTTCAATAACTTCACATTCTACTCCCATAGAGTCAATTCCTTCTCACTTTGCCTCGAAAAAGGTTTCCCGATTTTCTCAAGGCTGTATTCCTTTTCAAGAATTTGTTAGATCAAAATCAATCACAAATTTAGCCAATTAAGGCAGTTGTTCATTTTCTAATTTCTATAACTTATGTCACTAACCCAGTCACAAAATGAAAGCAGAAAATTCAAATTAAAATCGACATACACACTATAATCAGCACAACATCAAATTCATTCACATTTCTATAGTTCTAAAATTACAAAAAAAAAAAAAAAATTAAGAATTATGATTGCGCGCAATTTAAACACTCAAATAAACTCAAAATCAAAAATTCATGATCCAATTTCTCAAAAATAAAACTACTAAACTCAAATAAATACAAAGTAGATTTCAGAAACAGTAAATTCAAAATTCAAAATAATAAAATTAAATTTGATTGAATTTGTAACTAGCAAGTACCTTGATTAAATTGAAGAATGAAGATCACAAGAGCTAAGGCGAGATTCGGCGGCATTGCAGATGGCGGAAGTAGAATCGGCGGCAGAAGTCGAAGGATGAGAATTTGAATTGGAAGTTCTTGAATCGAAATTGGAAAATAAAAATTCAAACGATGAAAAAGAAATTTTTGGTCGAGGGAAGACATAAATATAGGGTTGATAGTTTGATTCCTGATTCAGTGATACTCTCTCAGACTCTCATTTCAGGATTTCAGTAACAGTAACCCAGGCAAAATATAAATGACAAAAAGAAAAACCTCGTAAACCTTACGTGACTGCATCCAACCATCCAACCGATTCCAAGATGTACATGTACGGTGAAATGAATATGAAATTTGTGGGTCCATAATAAAATGAGTCTTACTTTGGGTCCAATAGCTTGGTCCATTTCAAGCCATTTTACTAAGTTTTGTAAGTCCTCTTTGAGGCTATTTTTGTGGCTTCTTTTGGAAGCTTTTGAAATGAGATCTTGTGGTAAACAAGTGACCAAGTAAATAGCTAAGAGCTGAGCATTTACACGCACAAAATAGGGAGAGAGTGAAGGTTTATACAAGAGCTTCCAATTTTGAATTTTTCTAGAAAACTTTTAGAAAATCGTCTGTTTTCAAAAATTCCACCGTTGGATCGTGCTCAAATATTGACAGCTTATTCCTGACATCAAGGGGTTAAATTAGGACGGTTGGATCGTCAGTTTTAGCTCTTTTTGTTCAAAAACGTCTCTGGATAAAACAACTGTTTTTTGGGTGAATTCTACTCTTTTTACTCTCTAATTTCAATCTTATTGTTTGTTTGTTGTTGGTGGGTTATGAATCCTTTGTAAACTAATTAATTTGGGATTATTTTTCCCTCAATATATCAATAAGAGAAGCTAGGGTGGACTCCTTAAACGCTCCCGTGGTTTTTATCCTTGACATCGAAGGGATTTTCCACGTATAATCCTTGTGTGTTGATTGTTATCATTTCTTCATTGGTTTGTTGGTGTTATTGTTGTTTTGCCACTGCTCTATTGCTGATCTAGTTGTGCTACTTTGGTTGTGTGAGAATTTGGGTTGATTGGATTGAATTGTTGGTTGATTGTCTTGTGTGTTATATTGTAGGTATCGTAGTGACCCCCTTTCGATACCTACAACTTGGTATCAGAGCCGGAATTTAAATTGTCACATTATGGAGTCGAGTAGTAGTAGTTCGATGGTTAAATTGACATTAACTAATTATTTAATTTGGAGACCTATGATGGAAGATCTGTTGTATTGTAAAGACTTACATGAACTGATAGAAACAACCATAAAGACAAATGGTAGCATTCACTAGTACAAAAACATTCATTTGCGTCTCTCATTTAGGGTATATTTGCGTCGCTTCTATGAGCGACGCAACAGCTCACGACGCTATGACCCAAAGTCATTTGCATCGCTCATAAATAAGTGTTATTTGCGTCGCTCGTTTACAAATGCACGACGCTAATAAAAGTTATTTGCGTCACTCGTTTGTTAAATGAGTGATGCAAATGACTCTTTTTGATAGCATATATACTGTTATTTGTGTTACTTCTTTAATAAACGAGTGACACAAATGACTCTTTTTAATAACATATATTTTGTTATTTGCGTCACTTCTTTAATAAATGAGTGACGTAAATAACTGGTTTGAGGAAGAGAAAATGAGCTATTTACATCACTTCTTTTTTAAAGAGAGATTCAAATAACATTTTTTTAAAATACCAGACATTAAAACAATATCCCTTTGTATAATATAATAATGCAAGACAAAAAATTAAAATAATAAGATCAAGTACAAATTTCGACATAATTTCCTTTGTATTTTGGCCTACCCATTAATTTGGGAATGACGACGCCTTGTATTAACAACCTATCAAATAAGTTTACAACTCAACAATATTGACATCTTCATCATAAACAACTAACACAAGCACCACGACCAACCCAAATGTTGGTAAACCAAATGCGTTCATCTCAAGCCTAAGAACTAAAACAAAATAATCCTATAAATAAATGGAATTTGATAAGTTTAAAGCTAACAGAATCTGCATAATCCCTAACACAACAAGTCCATAATGGAAGTCTACTTCCTTTTTCTCTTGCAAACAGTTTAAAGTCACCAACTCCTAAAATAAAATAATGGATCAATAAACAATCAAAGATGAGAATTAAGCATCAAAGCAGCAAAATAAAATTCTACAATTATTTAAACAACTAAAATAACTACAGAACAACCTGGTAAAATTATTTGAATACAAACATTGTATCATAGTTTATCTATTCACAGCTAAGTATATCATGGAACATTTTCGAGCAACAAAAAATATGGGAAAGAGCATCTCTTAGTAGGGGAACAAAGAGCTACAAAAAAAAGTATACATGACCATCCTATGTATTCAATATTCACTAGAACTAATTTTTGACCCTATAAAAAACAGTAAAATGAGCAGCAAAACATCCAAAAAAAAACATAAAAAAAAAAAAAAAATTATAGTCTGTTAGTGCCTAGCATAGAGCTAGGAAAATTTTGCACATTTAAAGATGTAGGTTACAACCTAAGATTGATAAAGAATCCTCAAAAACGGCAGAGTACATTGTAGCCCATATTTTTAAATCCCAAACGGAAGTTGCACGCAAAAACAGATTTAATCACATCTTTAACGGAAGCTAGCCAATAATACTCAATCCCAAAGTCGGTCAATTGAAAGAGGGATCCCCTTGGCATGTTTAACTTTCTATAACTACACCTTTTCAAGCAGCCGATAATATATAGGAGGTCGAAAGGTGAATAGGGTTTAAATTTTGTTCTACTTTGGCTTCATCTGCATCTACAAAATCAGATACTCAAGGCTTTATTTTGATAGCACAGAACTTTAAATTTCATAGAACTGCACAAATGCTTTGGTTTAAAACAGGAAGGCCTATAAAGCTTAGTGAGAACAAGACCAAACACCTAACACTACACGAAACCAGCAAATTGGCAACGGTTCAAACCCCCCCAAAGGCAACGGTTTTGAACCGTTGAGTATTTGAGGGTTGCCAAATCCCAAAAAAATTGGCAACGGTTAACCGTTGCCATTGACCATGGCGCCCTTTTTTTGTTTTTAAAAGTAATTGGCAACGGTTAACCGTTGCCAAAGACAATGCGCGCCTTTTTTTTTTTAAATATTGGCAACGGTTAACCGTTGCCATTGACCTGTATTGTTTTTTTTTTTTGCTGCACTAATATTGACCTTTTTTTTTTTTTTTGGCTGCAATATTATTAATATTATAATAGTAATAATAATAATAATAATAATTATTATTATTATTATTATTATGATAATAGTAACATTAATTAGTATTATTAATAACAAAACATAAATAATTAATAATAACAATCGCAAGAGATGATATAAATTAGAAAAATGTTTCATGTATAGTACATAATTAATAAGCTAAGGCTAAGCTAGGATTGATGAAGAGATGATATAGTACAAAAATGTATGACGATATTTACAAATTAAATGTGATGTAGGTCGCCAACATCTCCCGAATTACATGGAGTTCCTCGCTCGTGTATGGAAGTCCCGTTTTCCCCTTGCAAAACTTAGAATACACAAAACGTGAGTTAGTAGAAGTGAATTAATAATAATTGGGGTTAGTTATAGGTGCCTAATGCTTGAGATTACAAGAAAAGAGCAAGTAAGAGGTTTTGGGACGCAATTTCAACCAAAATGGCTCAAGTAAGGCCATTTTGGCTACTATGATGCCTATTTTCTATAATTCTTGTCTATTGAACTCATAACTAGTTAAAACATGTCATTATCACTTAGTTAAATGTGACTAATGCTTGAGATTACAAGCAAAGAGCAAGTAAGTGGTTTTGGGACGCAATTTCAACCAAAATGGCTCAAGTAAGGCCATTTTGGCTACTAGGATGCCTATTTTCTATATTTCTTGTCTATTGAACTCATAACTAGTTAAAACATGTCATTATCACTTATTTATAGCTGACTAATGCTTGATATTACAAGAAAAGAGCAAGTAAGAGGTTTTGGGACGCAATTTCAACCAAAATGGCTCAAGTAAGGCCATTTTGGCTACTAGGATGCCTATTTTCTATATTTCTTGTCTATTGAACTCATAACTAGTTAAAACATGTCATTATCACTTAGTTATAGGTGCCTAATGCTTGAGATTACAAGAAAAGAGAAAGTAAGTGGTTTTGGGACGCAATTTCAACCAAAATGGCATACCTCTTCAAGCTGACGTGTGTCTGTACAATGACTCATCACTATGTCATAAATGAATCTCATCACGTATAGGCCACAGTCAACTCCATTTTCGTGTTTTGCGCACTAGCATGAGGAACAAAGCACATGAATCAAAATGCATAGCAAATAAGCAACATCTTAAGCATTGTAAAGTAAGAAAATCACAACATCATGGGTGAATTACCTTGGGCGCTTTCCATGTAGGACCTTGAGGAGATCGAGGATTTATCTTCTTCATGGTACTACAAAAAATCAAAGTAATAAGTTCAAATTTGACTAGTATAATCAATACATATGAGTTAAGATATGAAAATGAATAACAAGAAGTGAAACAAACTAGATGCTTACTTTTGCAGTATGGACCTCACGAGGCGCTTTCTTACTTGAGGTAACCGAGCAGAATCAAAGTAGAAGATTGTGTTACTGGAAACACAAATCACAAGTAGGGTCCAATGATAACTACACACGAGACAAACAAATCAATAGTTAGCCTATTACAACAAATAAACTGGGAAAACAAATGAACTTGACTAGCAAAATCAGACGTACTCCTCATAGTATGGGACGAATATAAACTTGTCTCCCGCACTCACTGATTGCCTGATACCCCGTTCAGCATAGTACAACACGTCAGCGGAGTTGCCTAAAATTCTAGCAGTGGACATCTGCTCAGGGCACAACCACCCAACTTCACAAGGAGATTCAAGCTCCCATATTTGCTCCTGGAGTGCTCTGCATGCATGATAACACAATGTTAATCGAAAACCAAACGACAAACACCACTAAACTAATAATATAAATTGAGTACCAGTTGAATTATCTCATGGATATTTGAATGAGGGAAATGTTAAGCATTGCACCACTTAGAAATTCCTTCACATCTTCTTTGAATAGCCATGCCGTTGCATCATCATCGTATTGGAACATTTCCTTAGGAAGTTGGATTTGGATGGGGCTGTCATTAGGCAACACGCAAACACGGTTGTGCAAATAAGCTAACTCCTGAGATAACGATTGAAGCACCGTGTCTTCAACTAATGGAGTAGCTTGCGTAGCTGAACACCGTG